GACTTCACTAATATCCCATTCGGAATAGAGGATTTTTACGTACCCTTATATGATTTGTGTCCCACAATCATCTCAATTCCTTCAATTTCTTCGTATTACAGCTCTCTTTTCAGTATTTTCAGGCTTACCCGTATCCATTTAAAGATTCTGAAGATTCTCGAGGATCTATACGTACGCGGTACAACGACCTGTCACACGCAAGCTTTTTTTCGTGGTTCGCTTCTTTGTGAAAATCCTCCACGACCTTCCCTCCATTCATTTGGTATTCAAGGGTGACTGCAGATAAAATCGCAGACAGAGCTTCTTCGAAGCTTTTCATCGTGTCCTTATGGATGGGTCTGTATTTTTCTTTAGATCTTGCACGAAACTTTCGTTTCCTCAAAAACAACCTCACTCAGTAACTTGCAATGAAAACATACTCGGAGAGTATTATATAAATCATAAATAAAATAATATAAGATATTTGATAGAGGATCGCATGGGCAATTATGAAACAATTATTACATCCTGAACGTAGCTGGGATCTATGAAAATTCTATTTAATGATATTAAAATCGATGTTATAATTTTTCAAAAATATAAAAAAATCTCTCTATGCATTTTTGTATTGATAAAGTTCATAGCAATTATTTTGGATGATTGAATGTCGATAAAATTTTGAGGTTACCCAGTAAAAATATTTATTCCAAATTATAGGTAATCACGAACGTCTCGAATCCAGAGAGAAAAATTTTGAAAAATATCGATTCTATTAGGTATAACGAGTAATGGCACTGATTGCGAGAATTTGACGTTAGCCATCGTTTCATACGCCATTGCTGCAAAACGAAGTAAAGTTTCACAAGGGAACTGATAATGGGAGGCTTTCCAATCAATACCAGTTGACTTCATTTTACTCTTAGAAATTAATGAATACTCATTACCGTAAGCCCCTCTGTCTGAAATTCTTCGGAGTATCTGTCAAATACTTGCGCGATTTCTTGTTTAAAAAAATTTCAAAAACTGACCATAGACTTAAACTCATAAAATGAGACGAAAACGTGCTTTCTCAGAATCAAAATGACGGTATTGATATAAGAAAAAAAAATGTGCACAATTATTTTCTACCCCTTACAAATTCTACTATTCAGGAAATTGTCTGGTAACAATAACGAAAGAGAGAATCAGGGAAACCAGAATTCTATTTTCTCCGTCTATATCCGTAGTGCAATACGGTTTCTCTACAGTTTCTATAGCCTATGTTGGTTGGGTGTACCGGGAGTCCGTGAGTTTCCCTGTAATTATTATGCATTGGTATGCAAATGGATGGGCATTTAATAGAGCTCGTCGTTACGACGGGAAAATTTCAGATGGAACGAACGAAAAAGGTGGCAGCTGTTACGCTGTTGCGCGGAAAATGTTGTTTATGAATTTCCGGACGGCATAACCGTGTGCGCATGCGCACAACGTCCCTCCTCTCATCTCGTTGTGCAGCGATCTGAATTTAACGTTATTAAAATGGACATCTGCGATAATATCGGTAATAAAAGTCGTAATTATTTGGAAGGAAGCACCGAAGCTTAAAAAGTTCTTTTCTGAATTTATGAATAATTCTGTGTCAAGTAGCATTCCTGTATATAGATAGTTATTACATTTTTTTTCTTCGAAAATTCATAAATTTAATTTATTTTCTACGCACAATTATTTTGCCAGCTTTAATATTTGAATTGTACAAAAAATTTTAAATAACCAAATTCGAAACTTATCGAAGTACCTTTTAGGCTAACGTTACTTCGACGAACTTGTCGACTTTCTACGAAATTAGGTATACTTGGTACATCCAAGAAACGTGTATAATAAATGGTATGGACATATTTGTAACACTGCTTCCAGGGATAAGGTCAACCAAACTGATATATTATCAGTATGTTTAAAGACAAATTTTTCCGAGAATTTCATCACGTGTAAATAAAGGTTTCGAACCGTTTTTATGCAACATTTATGAAACAACCTATATATATATATGTAACAAACTATATTCGTATTCAGCCATTTGCCATTCCCTATAAGCTATTTCCATAATTGTCTAAAAGGAGAAATACTGCCTGTTCCGTTCCCAAAGCAGCCGTAGTATGGCAGCACCGTCGATCGGACTTGAGGGGGAAAATCGAGATCGTATCCAATCCTCGTACAGTAAATCGGTCGACTGGGGGGTGTAACCCCGTAAACTTCGGGTGTATCGTCTCGCGAACAATATCGGAAAATCCCAATTTCGTTATAGGTGGCAGTACGATCGTCTAATATCGGGTACGACCCCCGCAGGGCTACGCTACTGGTTTATCCAGGCGGTTCGAAGCCATGAGGACGATACAGGGTAAATAGAAAGGGATAAAATATAAGACAACTTTATGGCGTTACCAAAGGCAGCCTGCTGAATTCAGGGGGTTGGTACGGGCTTAGATTTCAACCATCCCCGAAGAACAAACGGTGCGTGGAAGATGATGATTCTTGGAGTGAATAGTGGTTGAAAGTTTAAGCACCCTAAAACCCTTTTCGTACAACTTTCCGGCCAAAACAATAAACCCTATCCGTAATTAATAGACAGAACAAGTAAGTCCGTCAGTGAAGTTACGCGAAGGGATTCTATCGGTTTACCCTGCTAAATTAAAACATTCTTTGTACATTCAATATACGTACTTAACATTTTTTTCTTTCCATTATATATATTTATCGATTATTTTTCTAAACAATAAATTTTTTCTTTTTAAGAGTACAAAAGAATCACACCTATGCTATATCTACATCTATAATAATTCTCGGACAACATGCACATATCTTTGCGTGTAACACGCATAACATGTAATTCCATTCCGGGTCTTGTACCTACAGTATGACTATCAAGGCTCGTAAACGTTTCATGAATAAATAGGCACGTTAATTTCATGAGTAGAAAAAAATGTTTAAAATGAACATCAAGTCTTACGAGCATTTTCGGCCAGTCTACATAGGATAATAAAAAATTGCAGTCTCAGAGAGTAGGACGAGGGCGAAAGCGCATGAGAACGATATAGAGGGACAATGTGAAGTAAAAAAGAATTATAATTAAAAGAACAAAACAAAAGCGTAAAGTATTCATCTAAATTATTCTCGTAAGAGTCAAGTGAGAAATGCCACTCGTGGTTCCTAAGAGTAATGACAAAGAGATATATACCATATCATTTCGCATATTTTTAAATAAGTCATTTTTTTCTATCCCCTCGAACCTACCCCTTTTCTTGTTCCATAGAGAAAAAAAATTCGAAGCGAACCCCTAATAAAATCCAGAAATTCCAAAGGTTCCAGAAGCACGCAAAGGATCCCAATTCTGTAAGAAGAAAAGCTGGAAAGTGGAAACCAGATAGTATCCAGTGGGTGAAGTCGGGGAGGGGGATTGGAATTTTACGAGGCTCGAAATTGACTAAAATTGTTCGCCATAAATTTCATGTATAAAATGCTTATAAACGTTAAGATATCGCAAAAATTGCTTGAGCTCGTTCTCGTTCCTTTTCCAAACTCGTGGATAAACTCGAAGAAAATGTCTTAATCGTCCCTCGTAAACTACTAATATTATCACGTACGTACTATAGCGTCATACGACGTTCCGTTATTAGTTTAAAAGTTGAAACTACAAGGTATTGTAATATTATCCCAGATGTTTCGTGCTTTATAAGATACTTTATAGAATCTTCAAAATTATATGTTATCCAAACTTTACACTCCCATACACATACACACACACGCCATAGAATTGTATGTTCACCCGGTACATTTGAATCATCAAATTATTTTCCCAGAAGCGTTATCGCGTTCTCATCAGCCAGCTATGAGAATCCCGATTAAGTAGAGTGATAAGCCCCACCGAGAATAATTCAACTAGTACACTTTGGTCCGAGAGAGAAAAAGAAAAGGAGCGTGAAAGAATCAGTAATTTCTTCCTACGCGTTGTTCCATTGTATCTTGTCAAATTTATATCTACCAAGTAAACACATACGTACCTGTATACATTTTATATGTATTACCATAAATATATCTATATCTCGTATACAACATAATATCACGCGTTATCCAGTATCCTGTTTCAGGACATAGACTTCCAAGAGAGTCTAGATTTCCTGGCTATTTACTCTACTAAAAGGAAATCGAATAAAGTCCTGGATACTCGTCCCGTCTGTCTCCTCGTACTACCTCGAAACACGGTACGTACACCTAACACGCGTATACCATCAAAGAAAACTCTCAAAGATTCATGTCCTTTCGTAAAGTCATACCCGTATAGTGTCTTTTACCTTATAGCGTCATTTTTCTATCAGAATAAAGGATAAAGCAACTCATAAAGATCCAGTTTACTCGAGGCCGTGAGCTCACCCGTTAAGGATATTCATATTCGAGAAGATTCTTTAAAACCAGTAGATTTCCCTATAGAGGATGTCACATTTCCCAGGACTCCCTGCGTTACTTCACCTACCTGGTGCTGCCAAGCTGTCTAGGATTGTTTACGAGAGTATATCCTGCGGGCGGATTAATGTGAGGATTCTGATCTCAATTTTATTTCAACGAGATAAAAGCAGGATCTATTCAGGCAAGTATATGCTTCGCTATAATATTTAATGTATGCCATTATTATTATTTTCTATTTTTCTCATTTACTTCATGGCTATCCTTTCTCCTCTCTATATTCGTCCTCCGGAAAATGCACGGTCGTACTTTCGGTATTGGAATTGGCAGCAGTTTATTTCCGGATGTAGAAACGTAATCCTCTACTATATATCCTTCTAACATCCTGACTTATAGTGTCTGCAGACATATCGACATCGTTCTTATTGTGAGACAGATCGAGGATCCGGGGATCGAGATACCAAGATGTCTTGATAATTTATCTTCTATTTTCACCACCGTCTTATATCTATATCCTAAATGTTTATGTACATTAATAAATAAAGCCATGGAGGTTCCTGATAAATTTAATAATCAACTGCGCGTCCTTTCTTAACAATCCGATTTATTGTCTATGTACAAACATTGATATACATTGTCTTATTTATTGATCGAGTAGCTTAACCGTCAATGAAGTCGAATGAGGTCAAAGGTGGAAGAGATCCTGGCCTGCTTGTCCATGGGATAATCCTTGTTATATACAACTCTCCTGGACTCGCAAGCTTCTCGTATATATATCATGGCTACGATGTACCGGAAGTGTACTGGGTCGGACAGGACTAAGCTTTTCTGCCCGTTCGACGTATCCATTCGGATAAATCCAAGAGTCCTTTGAGTGAAGGACATTGGAGGGTGAAGGATAATCAAAGTCATCAAGACTACCAAAATTTGTCATTTTGTCCGTAGCTTTTCCGTATGTCGGTTCGAAGATGTCTGGTCTTCGATCGACTTTGTTAGGTATGACGTCAGGATCATCCTCGAGAGGATCCTGGACCTGATCCTTAGCCTCCTTCTCGGTGCGTCCTCTGTCCTTGCTGTCGTAGCGAACAATCTCTATTTGCGTCTTGGTCGGTACCGAGGTATGATTTCTCCTGTAGAGGGTCAGGGTAATACCAACCACAAGGATACAAACCGCTGTGATACCTCCAGCAAAGCAGGCCACAAGGAGACTGTAATCGGTGCTGTCATCGGATGATCCTCGTCCTGTGAAAAAAAGGCAATAGTTCACTGACAAATTATTTCACTCTGTCCGTGTCCCTATTACACGACAAAGATCTGCAGAGGCTGGATTGGCCATCCTTGTAGGAACTCGATGACGTTCTGAACGTGCCTGGACAACTGGATTACATTTCGGACATGTTCCACCCTCTACATTAGTGGATCAGGAGAACCCAGACTGAAGACGAAGGAGACTCCTGCCGTATACCTATAGAGGAAGGTGGCTACCTGGACATTATTAAAGGACAGCGATTTCGGAAACAAAGATTAGAAGACGAACGTGCGCCAGAATAAAATGGACCTAAGCAAGTGGGCGATTTAGGAGGTAGGCAAGTAAACGAGTCCTGGAGACAGCCATAGTTGCAAGGTTATAAAGAGGCTAGAAGAGCCAGGAGACCCAAGTCGATTGCCAAGAGACTCCAGAGCTTCTTGGCATTCGGAAAACGCGTTGGTTCGTTAGTGGGAAACTCCTGTACTATATATATATATATATATATATAATATACCTAGAAGGACAAGCGGATGAACGGGCAAGCGAGCTGGGACTAAAGTAGCAGGACCTGGTGGAAGGAACAGCCGCTACAGGAGGTTGAACATGGAGTGAAGTATCCTGGGGAACATCCCGAACGGGCAAGCGAGCTGGGACTAAAGTAGCAGGACCTGGTGGAAGGAACAGCCGCTACAGGAGGTTGAACATGGAGTGAAGTATCCTGGGGAACATCCCGTCTCTGATGGTAAGCTAAAAGAAAGAAGAAGAGAGAAGGAATAGGCTGTTATACCGAGGGTCTCCTGTCCTTTAGCAGAGTCTCCTCTGGCTCCTGACAATCAGCCACGCCGTGAGAGTTCCCTTTTCTGATTGTGAACGTCAGTACGGAATCGTCGAAAGGGTGTGTTGGCTAAGGTTAACGTGCCTCGTGGATACATACGTACACGAGAGCGTCAGCCAGTCATGAATAAGTCATGAGGATGGAAATTATAGACGATAAATGTGGTCGGAATGAAAGCGCCCTGGGAGGGGAGGCACTGGGATCTTTATGGGATTTTAATTCAGGTTCCGTACCCTGTGGTACCTAAAACTGGGTAAAGGGAAACGGTGAGTGAGATGTATCAGGGATAAGAGAGACGTCGCCGTTAAGGACGTAAAGAGTGAGAAAGAGAGATGGGGCAAGGACGGTGGGTCACTCAAAAGTCCAAGAGAGCCTCTAAGCGGATCTGGTAGTAAAAGTTAAAAAAAAAAAGTATAATTACAACAGTCGTAAAGGTATCCCGCGTAACTCCGTGCAAAGCCACGAGTCATTAACTTCTGCGTAATTAATAGCCGACCCGATGTAAACTTGCAGTCTCGAGTACGCCACACGTAATCAGAGGCGTCGGTACGAGGCGTCGTTACGTCCACTGGCCTGTATGTATATACGTTCTGAGTATACGTCCGCGGGACGTAGTCGCATAGATTCGGTGAAACACGTGAAAAAGTAAGAGGGAAAATAAATTGCGTGAGAGTATTAAAAAAGAGATGAAAAAATGGAGAATAAAAAGAATAATAAACTCACCAGTTGTGTACATGGCGACACCCTTTAACGTAACTGGTTCCAGGACGACTGGATCGCTACGACCTTTAGCGTTTATCGCGTATAGTAACAGTCGGTAATTCCTTCCCGGCTCCAGATCAGGAACCTCGAAGATCGGACCACCTGAATTCATTCTATCCGTCTGATTCAGGTAAATCGTATTGATGTGATAAACATTCTCCTCGCTGTATACTTCCAGCTCGAAACTGGTTAAGGGTAAGCCACCATCGAAACCCTCCATGCACCTCACTATCAGCCAGTCAGCATCCCTGGAGTCCGTTGTTTTGAAATCCTCGTGACCTGAGAATGATATGGAAAAAACAAAAAATTGGTAAAATTTGTTACTCTATTTTTTGACTATGTAGACTGATACCAAATCCTTACCCATACGGTAAGCATATGGTCCTGTAGACTGAACTGCTGAACAGTTGTGCAACGGATAAGGCCGACCTGCTACTATAATCTGAAATAGACACGGAGTCCTCTGTACGCCTATACGATTTTTCGCCCAACACGCCACAGTCCCGTAATCCATATCGCTAGAGGGCGTGTAGTTCAATCTGGAGCCGTGCCAATGATTCGTGAGCAAACGCAGTGGCTTGATCTGCGTAAATCTGCTGGCTGGAACGTTCATCAGCTCCCCAGAATTGTTAAAAGTCCAATGAAACGTATCAGGAGGTGGTTTCGCTTGGACACCGCAGACTAGAGATATGGTCTCCTGCTTGAGCGCCCCTACGACCTGCGTCATGGATCCATCCTTACATATGGGAGCGTCTGAAAGTTTGAATGATATTTTGAAAAATTGTAATATCTAATTAAAAGAAAAAAAAAATTTAATTCTTAAAATAAATCTCACACATGACTTCCAATCTGACTGGTCTACTCGAGGCACGTCCTTCGGTATTGGCAGCCATACACGAGTAGTCGCCTGCTGAATTTTTAGTGACCCTTTGTAACACCAATGATTTACCACCAGGCAGTACGATACCAGCCGTTGTATTTTGATGTAACTCGCGGCCATCTTTGAACCAGGCTAATTTATACTCTTTTGGATTAGCCATGACGTCACATTCGAAATAAACGTCATCGCCTTCATTGATGTCATTTGCCTTTAAGTTTGAACCCAAACTGATCGTCACCACGGGAACGTCTGAAGGGGATGAAAAGTATTTTCATATTCCTGCCATTTGTCACACTCTATTTGGCTTTGTATAATATCAAGATTCTCTGAGTCAATTTATGTAACGGCTGACTTACAATGAACGACCAGGTACCATCTGTCTTCCAATGCACTATTTGGTACTACAGGATTCTCTGCACGACAGATCAGGAACTTCCCATCGTCCACAATAGTTGGCACGTAACTCAATACGCTTCTAGTCTCGTTAGGACTCTCTGCAAACTACCAGAAGCTCAGTATCTCGATACCAAAATTTATTTGTTAATATACTAGATGTCATTTTTGATATTCACATTTCTGGCCATGTGTTTCACCTGATGAGTGCCTTTCCACCATGTGATCACAGGTTCCGGTCGGGAACCGGAACTAACACACTCAATATCATAAGTCTTAAGCGCTGACAGGTGTGTTTCCTTACTTTTAATATTTACCATCAATGGTTTCACTAGAAGTAATAATGATAATTTTCAGCAACATTAACATTTTTTTTTCTTAGATAACGTAACCTTACATCATCTAGATGAATCTACTCACGATTAACATCCAAAATTATCTCAGATATTATCGGTGATATCAGGTGAGTATTGTTAGCCTGACAGATCAGTCTGGCCCTTAAAAATTCTCTAGTGATTTTTGCAATTTCCAATTGATTCACTGTTATGTCGTCGTGCTCTCTCTTGAAGGTATCGTCGAGCAATTTTCCTTCTAGGTACCAGACGAGCTTCGGTGGTGGGGAACCACCTCTGACCTCACAGAGTAACGAGAGGTCACTGCCCTCGTTAAAGGGTTGAAGTATTTTGGCGAGACTTCTTCTCGCACCGGTATAGATTACCGGCCTCTCTGGCGGGACTATCGAGAAAGAAAATTCGAAAAATCTTTTCACAGCGTCAGACTCTTCAATTTACTACCGGTAAGAGTCCATCTCCGCCCGGAAGTAATTAAGCAGCCCTTCGTTTAAAATGAATGAAGGAAAAATGAAACTTGGTTGGTATGATTATAAAAAAGGAAGGAAAAACTTTCTATCCATTGCCAATTTAAGACACTAATTGACTTTTTTAAATTTTAAACACCTACAAAACGGACTCACAGGTGGAACGGTAACACCTGTTGAGCTATTATCACGTTCAATTAATTTATTCGAAAATTGTTTCTGCTCGTTGATCGAGGCAGGGTTTCAACTTGTGGTATTTAATATACTGTAATGATAATTTATAAATACAAATGCATCAATATCTTTTTCATTAAATTATTTATTTTAATTCAATTTTTTATTTTAATTCAACGATTTAAGTAAGCTTCGCTTTACCTGAATTAACCGAAAGTAACAATCTAGCTTTAGCGATTGGCTCTGAAATAAAATGTTAATTCATTCTCTAACTATATTAATTTTATATTGACTCACCTATCACGGTTAGATTAATCTTTTGATTTTTCGTGGGGCTGTTCCTGAAGTCCACGCGACACCTGTACAGTCCCACGTCTTTTGCCTTAAGATCTTCTATCTCCAATTCGGCTGGTTTCACGTTCATCTTCATAGAAGCCCTGTCGCCGAAAACTTCCGGATCCGACCAAAAGTTCGCTTGACTGAACGTCCGGCCACGTGCGTCCACGCTGTAAATGGGTTCGCCGTCTTTCTCTTCCTTGTACCAAAGTACCATGAATACCACGTCGTCTCTGCTAGGCGGCGTTATGTCACATGGTAATTGAGTTCTGTATCCAGCCACAGCACTCAGGTCCATTATCGGTACTAAAAAAACAAGGGGGATCGATCCGATTCCAAAGTATATGCAAAAATCGGACAAAACAATTACAAAAATATTATAAACTCAGTCGCATAATTTTTTTCCATCCTGTAAAAACAATTACGTAAGATAAAAAAAATTAAAATATCCGAAACCACTGAAAAAGTTCCGTCCTACGTAAAATCCATTTTACCGATATTCCATCAAAATTCTATTCAGTCCCTGCTACGCAATTAAATTCAAGTACGCAAACTCAACAACTTTACGACATTGCTAGCGGTTACGAAACTTCTATATACCATACGCATATATCCTACCGAGACACATACCATTACCACTGCCGTACATTTTCTTGGCGAATTCGCAAATTTCAAGTTTTAGTTACTCGCCGCAAAACCGAGTTACTGCAAATTGGCTAAGCCCCGGTCAGCTCGTCCCAAACAAGTCCTACACAGATACATACGTTAACACTCTACGTGCACCCACATGCAGTCTCTAGAGAAATAAAGATTGTTCCACCAAACCCACAGCCTCCGCACACTCACGCATGACCCCCCTTACAGAAACAGGCGAACCCAATTAATCGGTCTACTTGCCGATTTATTCCCTGATCTAGGTAGCGATGGCGCGATTTTATTGGCATTCGATGCCGCCCCATCAATCGTCCCAGCACCTCCCCTCTCCCCTTCCCCTATTCCCCCACTACCATCACATCAATATCCCAAGCATTCCAGTCAACCTATACAACCCTCCACTAGCAACGGCAATAGTACAACCTTACCCTATAACCACTGTCTATTATACAAAATTTCCCCCAAGGCTTAAATATCTCCTATCGCACACGAACAATTATTGCGTAACATACCCACTCTCAAGCTTACTACATCATATATCTATATATGCAGACATATATAACTACCTGCACGCTTACAGTACACAGCCAGACACGGAGCATCCCCATACACGCGATACCCATAGCAAGAGTAAAACCATGTAGACTTAACGTGTAACGTAAATCCGAGAATTCATTGGCGGTGCGATGTTAATAATCCGACGTAATTAATGTTCGGTACCGAATGCGCGTTCGAACGACCCATCGCTAACGACACGCGGATATGTACATGGGATAAATGCCTAGTGAGTGTTGTTAGCCGCTTGGCAGACCGGAGTATCGTGCGAGTGGGGTTGTAGTGGGTTGTAGTGGGTTGTACATGGATATACCATAGAAGGGGTTGAGATTGTCAACGATGGGTCTGCTTGCTGTGTTTAGATATTTCCACGTGTGCGCGCATTAGGAACGCCTAACCGTACGATACCGCATAACTATTCAAGGCAAACGCGTAGGTTAGTCCGAGGACTAGACGTGACGTTGGCCTCCTATGCTTGGCAAACAGATTTGTGCGGCATCCAGTGTGCAGAGGCCCGCAAATGCACACGGCAAGCGCACTCAAGATACGTCAAGATGACATGTGACTCGACTGCGATTGATCAAACTGTGGATTTGCGAGAAAGGTCACAGGCCGAATGGATTGCATATGGAGAAGATGATTTATAAGCTTTTCAATTTCTCTCTTTCAGGCTTATGCTTGATATTGAATGTGTTTTAATAGAGAATGACGTAGGGACGGGGTGAGGGGAAGTAACGATATAAAGTAAGTAATATTTGATTATGGGTACGACCTGGTGCATGTCTGAGTAAGTGCATTGAACAATAATAACGCGATGGCTATCGTTGGCATGGGGTTGGGGGTCGAACGGGGGTAATGTGCATTCCTAAATAATTCGCATTGAAATGCTGCTGGTGAAATTGAAATGGCTGGGAAAAAGGGGTAATGTGGATTTTTCAGGCGGTTCATTTGAATACGGGGTGGGGATGAATGATTGGCAATGGGAGAGCAAATTAATGTAAGGGCTTGATTAAAGATTCAGATACAGGAATGATAGATGGGAGCAAAGTACATTGGGTAAAACGCAACTTGATCGTTAAATGTGTATCGCGACCGCAACGAATTTATTTGCGTGGTATAAGTTTGATGCGGACGAGAAAAAAAAATAATATAAATGTTTTCAATGAAATATGGAGGTATGATATATCGAAATAATTATTAGAGCGTTACGCATTGCGCTTCGTGAAAAAGATGCATTTTATGAGATCAAAAGTGTCTGTATAGATATGTAACAACGAAAGGGTCGCTACGTTAACATTACTCGATAACATTTGCGCAGGGGGAGTTAGCACGTTGCCAGCATGAATGTCAGCACATTCGCATAAGAGTTGATACTGCAACGCCTATATCAATATATATGTATATTAAACCATATGTATACCGGGCCACTATATGCATGAACGTGCATTCGAGTGCATCGCGTAGAGAGATATTATTATGCAGGTTAGCATATGGCACGAAGAAAGAGCACAGCAGCTAAAAGGGACACGGGAATGGGTCGGAATTAAGTGGAATGGAGAGACTGAAAGTGAGAGAAGCGGAGCCATGCAGAGTCATAGATAGTAATAGATGTATCACTTTGGTGCAGCAGGTGCAACGAAAACCGGTCGGGAGGACCCAGCATCCTCTTACATTCGAGACACCATGTCACTTCTTGGTTAAACGACTTTTTTTATGCCAGCGGGACAAAAAGGATACTGAATGGGGACGTGGCGAAAGATAATTTACAATGTTAAAATAAGAGAGATTGGAATGCGTTCGGAACGAGAGTTATCAGTCGAAGGAAGACAATGAATAAGATGAGAAAGATGAGAAGCTTAGGAACGTCGGGTCGGACGTAGGTCTTGTGGAAGGAAGGAAATGCACTTTGCTGGATTAACGAGAGAAGCATCGTAGAAATTACATGGAGCGAGTGGAGTTAACGTAGAAAAGCGAGGACTTATCTACTGGAAGGTAGACATATGTATATACGTGGTAGAGCGTTCTTTTTTCAATATTCTCTTTTCATTCTTGAAACCCGCGGATTCTGATAATTCGATGCCCGTCGGGTGGCAACTGGATCGATGCTGCTGTTTCTTCTGGTGCGTCCTACTAAAGAAGAGAGAGGGGGGAGGGGGGCAGAGAGTGGGACAGGGAGAGAAACGGAAGAAAGAAAAAGAATGGTTCAGTGGGTACCAAAGAAAGAGTAAAGGAAGAAAACAAAGCACGAGGATGGAAGGTGAAAGGTGGTAGGAAGATAGGAGCCGGCAGGTTTTGGTATACTGGGTTCAGATGAATCCAGTGTGGAGAATGGATGAAAAGACGGCCGTTCACAGCTCTTTGGTTTTTCCTTTGGATTTCCCTTGGTGGGTCTCTTGAGAGACAATTGGGTCGCGTAGACAATCACGTGCCGCCGCCTACCCCGACCAATCAGTCCCGCATTGAGCGATCGACGTCGCACCTCTTTATGGCCGCCGGTGAAACTCCTTCGTCAAACAAAGGATCATTCTGCCCGGGCACTCGGTACAGGGTGACTATCCCACAGACACACTCTGCCAGTAAGGGTAGAAGGGATGAAAGGGCAGAAGGGCACAGTGCGACCCATAGAGAGGACTCCGATCTGGAAGGCCTCGCTTATCGCGTTATTCCTCACGCTTTATCAGGAATCTGTTTCTGATCGGCGCCCCCAGTTACCCCTTGGGGGATTCACCCTTCGAGCCGTCCCGAGAGAATTTATCCTCGGGAGCTACTACTCCGAGAACAAACGCGGGATATCTTTTCGGATCGGAATTTCCCTTAGTCGTCTTCTTCGTTCTTCTTCCTTTTTCATTTCCTTTTCTTTTTTATTGATCTTCTCCGGAACAACGCAACCCCTCGCAATTTCCAGTTAGCCCTGACTTACCGAATCTCTCTGCATACCCTACCTAGCTACGGTAAATGCAAAGCAATAATGATACTTCCGCATCGTCCTTCACCAAAAAACTCAAATTAAAGAGAGCTTATGCTTGCTGACTGAGGACTTCCTTCCTGCTACGTCTTCACAGTTATTGCAGGACTGTTTGTTCGGAATTCCTCTCGAGCTCTCATAGAATCGCCACTCCCATATTGCATTTTTCTATCCCGTCCCTGAGTTCGCTTCTCCGATTCCTTTTGTTAAGAGCACTCTGTACTACCCTCGAACCACCCTGTACATTCTACCCCTGCACGCTCCTAGACAGTATAAAACCACCCCTTCCACCCATTACCGTACAATTTCGATCTTGGTTTCAATATTTCAAGCACCCCGGCATCACGGTAATGACTCGCCAGGACGCTCTTGAAAATTTTTCACGAAATGTGTACGCCGATTTTAGCCTAACACAAAGTATTATTCATTCCCGCGATAACTCATATACCGCCGTAGATACAGATACGGGCGTCCGTTAATTGCGGTTTCATGAAGTTGCAAAAAATTCGCGATGTTCTAAAAGTTTGACCAACCCGGAGTCATACATTAGCCACGTGAACTGATATGCCACCGCGGGGAAAACCAGTAACGATGAAGGGGGGTATTTCCTAAGATATAAAGGTCGCGTATGGGAATGCCAACCCTGTACCATATATTCCTATACCCTTGCACAGATACACAATACCGGCTATACGCCAGTGCGGCCGAGGGCTTTTGAAATACTGCGCTTTCGTGTTCTCCTCGCTACATATTACAAGCTCTCCAACTTATTTTACCCACCCTCAGACGCACGCCTCCCTACACAACATTCAGTACATAACACATGACATGGATATATCTACATCCGCATATAGGGGATAGCCATACAGTTGGATACAGGAGAAAAAAAGGAAGCCCGTGGTACGCACGTTTGGGAACACGCGCCCGAGAAATAGTTGGCTACATTTTTTCTTTCTTCTTTTTTTTTTCCATTGACCCAACCCTCTCTGCCCTTTGACCCTACGACGGTAAGGGTATCAACGCCGCCATCGTCATCCCCGTCACCACCAACGTTCTACATATTTCACGCAACATTTTTAATAATAAATTCGAGTGATTTACGAAGTTTCCGAACCTGCGCAGCTCGTTCCGCTTCGTCGTTCTACGTTTCTTTGAGAAACATTAATAAAGGCGGTACCGTAGAAGCGAGGCTCGTGTTGCGAATTTAAGAGACAGCGATGTGCACAATGAATATCGCGACGGCAGTACCATGCCTTTACGACAGTTTTTCTTCGTAAATATGCTCCAGGATTTCATACCAGTTTCGTATAACGACGTCCTCTACAATTTTTCGCGGCAGCACTCGACGTGTGTATCGGGATATCACTGTAGTTTTTAAAAATAAGAGCTTGAAATATTGGACAAAAATTATCAGATTAATAAATAGTATATGGGACCAAACTCGAGTACAGTATAATAACGGATTTTATGGCATCAATAGATCAATATCTACTGCCAGTGACAAGGTACCAGAAACCATCATTAAACCTTTAACAGAAAATTCCCCAATTGCCAAAAGTCTTTCGTTCTTACAATTTAACGGATTGTTATCACAGGGTCCCTGGATCAGGGTTGGATTTTAAGGATTAATAGATTGCCTAAAGAATCTATTACAGAATTTATCAGACTCGTAAGGTCAAAGCCAGCAAAAACAATCCCTAAAAGTACTAATATCCAGATATCGCATCCAATCCACGTCCACGTACCACTGACGACACTAATGGCGCACGGCGAGCAGGTATGTATAAGGGTATGTATGTAGATAGGTGTAGTAGGTATGAATAAGGGTTGGTCGACCCTAGAGTGAACTTTTCTTACGAAAAAAAGCCTCGCAAACCCAAAATGGTCAACAATCACCATTCCTAGCTACTTCCACGTATGATGCGTGGTTGGACAATGCTAGTGCTACGTGAAATTACGTAAAAATGAAATAAAAAACATGTGGAATCATGCATAAGGAAAAATGAAGAAAAAAAGGGGGAAAACCCATCAGTCACCGAATGACTATCTGCAAGTACAATGCGTACATAATTATATACGTATGTGCATCCACAATCGTAACAATCCATTGAAATGGTTTCGGATGAGGACAAAATCATTTCTCTCCATTGGACAAACATAAAAAGGATATGAAGCCTGTAAACAAAGAGAAAGGACAAAAGTGAAGTTAGCTGTATATAGTATATACTGATATATATCTTTACGCTTGACTTTACCTATATTAATATACATATATATGTACCTTATAAGTGGAAATGGTTACGGTCGAAGCGTATGCGCGAGCAAGCTTGCGGAACGAGGGTTCGGATAGTGGAGCCTGGTCGTGGAACGAGCTCTCGCTGCTCATCTCGTATGTCGCGTTACCGATCGGAGCAGCGACGTTATCTTTACAACTCCGCAACTGCTCCACCAGCCCAATACAATTTTTTCCTTCGTAAAAACGTACTTTCCCGTTCAATTCAGCCGAATACTCCTGGATCCTTGTCACTGTTAGGTCAGGTATATCCCAGGAATATTCAGTAGTAATTTCTCTCTGTAATTACCCAGTACCTAGTACATTGCGCGGTTCGCTGTTTTATACCGGCATAATATACCTGTACCGTTTGATTCTATATATACCCTGTTTCAGAACTACGAATTGGGAACGTAGCAGACTCCACCATTAATGCAAAAGACTCGATTTTTTTTTTCAATTCTCAGTCCTCCACTATGTTCCGTTCTCTGTCATTGTGTCTCGTCGTTCGTCGTTTCGCCTTTGCCTCGCGTGCACGCACCTCGTCCATGTAGATTCTGCTAGTAGTAATTTTCGACATCGACGACGTCGCCGATAGCCTTCTGGTCTTATTAGATAGTCCACAGATGTGTTCGTTGATAAATTCTCCTGGACGCGTTCGAGTCCATTGGGAGAGAGGGCAAAAAGAAATTAGCAAATTCTTAAATTATTATTTTATATCGTGTGGAATTCGAGGCTTCGGGCACGAGAAAAATAAAAATTTTTACCAAACGTATACTAGTACTGTCCTTGTCAGTGTTTGAAATATTGGCGTCCCTTTGGGCATTTAAATTTCTAAATCTCCGTTAAGTGTAACGGTCTACCATTTACTTGCGTGGCTATTGGCTTTTCAGAAATGATACAGCTATCAAGATTCGCTCCGCAGGAGATTCTTCGTGGAATTTTATGTACGAGTCTGTGGCCTTGCGGCTAGGTTTGCGGGCTGATAATAATTTAACTTATCTTGTATGGCGAGAGTGGTATGCATATAAGGACATTGAAAAGTTGGAGGTACGTAAAGTGGACTGATGACGGTGAGCAGGTGAGAATGAATGCGAAAGAATTTAAATGAGAGAAAGAGAGAGGGAATGCGAGAGAGGAAGGGAGAACATCATATAGCGTGAGAGAATCACTACAGAAATTTGGACAGACCGGTAATTGCGTTTCGCGCGACGGATTAAACAGCGGAATAAATACGATTAGGTCGAGAAAGTTTTCTGAAACCTTCGAGTAAATTCCATTTGACAGATTTATCCGACTTGACCGAAGTCCAATCGTCTGAACGTCTATTAAACCGGTGGGTCTTCGCTGCTATCGAATCTTTCCGAAACGGTTTAAAAAGTTTTCACTATTTTTCTTGAAACTACCTTAGAACTGGCTAGAGGTAAACTACCCCTTTTTACGAAAATTGACGATTACCCTGCTTAACACGGGAATTCAATTCAGATACCACCTTATCGAGATTCCCATTTCCCGACAGCACGTTTTTTTTTTTTCCCACTTTACACACAGTCTACGGGATAGCGTTGTAAAAAGCTAACAATTTTCTCGGATTTCGCGAAAGAAAGAATGAACACGGAATAAAATCAAGAGAAAGATCTCTGTGTGTATAAACGAATGCCTGTGCACACGAAGAATTTTCACTATTATCTTGGCTAGATAACAACAGGATAAAAAAAAAGGTTTGAAGTTGATTCATGAGTACGAATTATTCTGTAAATCAGGTAAAAGCGGATACGGCGCCAACGAGAGTAAGCGAAACAACCGGAAATAGAAGGTAATTTTCTAAAGTTGGCAAACTTCCATTATATATATATGCACCCACATATACACATGTATACGTACAGAGTAATCTTGGACAATTCAACTGATTCATTATCTCCTCGTGCTCTCACGAGATAACGACAATGTAACCGAGGACTTTGATACGCTCGAATTATTCAACCATAACGAATTCCTCGTTAACGCCAGCAATCCGTGTCATCGATCGCCCTATGAATACTCGGTTCTCTTCCCAACCACCGGAGAATATTACGCGACGGATCGGAACGATTGGCAAGTACGTGCCGACCGCCAATCCTGCCAATGCTGCCACCTCAAAATCATAAAAGTTCGACCAGGAGCCTGATAGCGGATAGGTGTGCCAATCTACGGGGATAAATGGCGTCACGTTTATTACAACTAGCCAAACTTTATATCTCATTAGTTTCCGACAATATCAAGTAAATCGATCGATTACGGCCTTGATTCTTGAAATTCTTCAATCAACCCTCACGTCGTACTCTCTCCGTCATACCCATATTTTATTTTTTATTTTAAATACTTCTTTCATCCTATTGACTCTCACATCTCTTTATTCCTAAGCTCGAACTCTCGTCTCGGGCTCCGCTGCTCCCATCCACTTCGTCGTAGAAAGATTACGGTCTATCGATGCAGCGACGTGAAGCCGTTAGGTCAATTTGCATAATGTATCGATCGAATAAACAGTCTGTTGGCTGGTCTGCTAACGCTATTGTAGAACAGCTCTCACGACTGGTTCACCGCAAAATAACTATTGACAGGTGAATACTTCCCTGCTCCCCCTGAGCCATAACGTAGAATCGCTCCACTCCTATCTAATCCTTTACTATTGCCTCGGCTCTGTCTCTCTTTCTCTTTCACGGAAATTAATACACTTTTAGGCTAACCGCTATCGTTTTATCTAATACGTACAAGTTCCCTGTACATTCGTTTTTAACGAACCAGCCTTAGGTGTTGAGCCAGATGTTACCTGATGGTAGATGGGTACCTGCATTTGGTCAGGTCTACCATTTGTGGTGAAATAAGAAATAAAATGTTTCCATTAAACATAGCGCATGTAAAACACGAGTGCCCTGTTACTGGTACGTGTTTCTCTATTGGCTCTGTATGTACCTAGATTCGAATAATTCTACACTGTATATTCACTTTTTTTTTTTGACTTACTTGGTTCATCGACGTCACCAATGAACACTTCCGCCACGGTATAGACGAGAATGCTCATTAACAAGAGCGTCTTCATATTGCAGAGATAAGAAGATCTGATGTTGAAAATGTTGAAACTTGTGTATTCCTCTCGAAATATCACTGAGATCTATCAGACTCGAGGAATCTAACGAATTTAACGATCCTGGTAAACTGTCGCTTTGGGGTTTCCTGTGATTTTATTGACTTTAACGATGTTTCAAGTTTCTTTTTTTTATTTTAACTACTTGATGCACCTTCGACACACTTGCAACGAACGTACGGTCGGATTGTAAGTAACCAGTCTAACTGATTATTCGACACGGTGTAACTGCACTTATTTATTCCGGAAGTGACGCAACTTCGTTGAGTTATCGATAAGAACTTTGCTTTCGTTGATTTCATCCTTCTTGAAGATTCTTTCCAATTTTTCTTGCTGTCCTTCACCGATGAGATCGGTCACCCGAATCAATCATTTTTCTTTTATACTAGTTAACTGTTTACATGATGCACTTGAGGATATTAGATTCTCCTTTTATTACGTGGAAAATATTCAATCGTCTATCGTAGCGTGTAAAAAGGTTTTGTGATGTAAAAGCATTTTTATGTTCTATCGTAAATGTCCGTATACGTATTGAAGAGGATCCGTGAGTAATTTAAAAAAAAGTACAAGATATGTTATTAAACTTGTATAAACATTTTATAGGTATCGATATTAGAAATAAAATTTATCACAAATTTTCTGTTCCGATTAAAGTTTTTATAGACGTGCATTATTTTTTAATTATTCAGATTTATCGTGAAAGTCCTTCATCAGGACTTTTCGAAATTTATTCTTCTACCCGTAACTGCAATCCCACTGCTACTCGTTGTTAAGGTACAAGTTTTGCAATTTAATTTGCAAAAATGATATGTAAAAATTTTCCCGATGATTTTCCCTTCGAATCGAGGAAACGTAATTAAAATCAATATCAGATCGATGACAATTTTAAAACTAACACTGAAGCCATGCCTGGACACAGCGCAATTTGCGAGATTAAAGGAACGAGAACGAAGCCCCCGTAGTAAAGCGGAAGGCGCGCTCACTGCTGCGTTGCGGCAGGCCTACTGACAGGGGTTGCTGAGTTTTCGGGATTGCTCGGCTCAGCTCGTGTATTTCCGTCACCCCCCGGCCGGTTAACGCATTTACCGAGCGACAGTCGAGCCCCACACTCCACCAGGACGCTTCGGTGCTGCTTCCACGAGCAGCAGCATCCCCTGCGAATGTTTCGAATGGTGGGACACCGAAATATAAGGGAGGAAAAAGCTCTGCCGTTAGATAGATACGAGTGCGACCCCTGCTGCCCACTCCCTCTGTCCATGGCGCCCCACCGTTAGTCTCCCTTTCGTAGAGGGAGGGGTGTCCGCCGAGAGATGTAAATGTTTTATTAATACAAAAACAAACCCGCGGCACGAGCTTTACGCAGACCAGCCTACGAGCCGTGAAATTGCAACTGTATACGAACCGCCATAGCCATTTTCAACCGTCGGACCTTTCATCTGCCTCATCTACCACCCTGACTCTCCGCGAGATCGCTTTTACACGCCGTTATTTTCCCATTTGTTAATACCCTACAAGTTTCTATCCCCATTCTCATTCGCTGTCCCCTTGGCATGTCCCGTAACGAAGATTTCATACATTTTCCTAAAAACCCTGTAATGTTTATATTATACCTATACTGTACCTATACTCGTGGACATTCGTTTGTTTAGTTTTTCTAGATACAAAAAAACGCTGTTATTATCCACAAAAACTTACTTATGCTTTTCATGCTTTTTTATTTTTTTTTTTAATTCTTTATTTTTTTTGATAAAAAACTTTCGATCCTGATGCTTTTTTATTCCAAGTCGTAAAGCTTTAACGGCTCTCCTGATACTTTTTGTGTTATCAAAATGGCTGGGCCGAAATGTCGAACTAGTTTTTGTCCATGTGTGAAATGTCTGACAAATATTCATAAAGGATGAAAAGAGTAAGGATGACAGGAGGAAGCTTGGCAAAAGAGAAAAGCGTCACCAGCAGGGAGAACGAAAAATGTCAGTCTCGGAACAACGAGAGAAACATTGGGTCTCTAGCTCGTTTTATATACTATATATTTCGATAGCTTTATCCTCGGCAGACAGGCCTGTACCGTCAGTTTTCATTATCCGGACTGAATTGAGGATGCTGCGAGTCTCTCTTCGTTTTTAGTGTCTCTGGCTCGAAGCCGAATTGACGAGAAACGAGACGGCTCCCGCTTTGTATGAGTGAAACTGAAAACGTGCAAGCGGATGTGGACGTATAGTAAGAATAAAAGTAGATACCGGCGCAGATGAATGTCAAAAGGAAGAGGAGAAAAGGGTGAAAGTATAATTGAGTGACAGAGACAAAGATAAGAGAGAGAGAGAGAGAGAGAGAGAGAGAGAGTGAGGAAGAGTACAAATAAATAGGTACCATGAAAATAGTTTCAAAAAATGGTTCAATGTTCTGGCATACTCGAAATAAATGACGTTATCTATGTTAATAAAATTTTCTTAAATCTGGTGGCATACATATATTTTTTTCAAGTTATTTAAACTGACCTTATATTATCGTTCAACGTGCCGAAGTCAATGACAGAGATTTACTTAACCTCTCTTAATTTTGGATAATAAGGGAGATTACAAAAAGTCATTCAACTTCTTCTGTTAATAACAAAAACCTCAATTCTTTTTAATTAAACATTTTTTCTTTTAATTGACAACTATAAAAATTTCTGCCTTCAATAACAACTCGTCATCCAACAACAATGCAAAACTCACCATGTACTTGCGATGTGGTAAGGACGGTGGTAGTAAGTTCTGTATTAGCGGAAAATATGATGGATTTCCATATTCTCCCTGAATTAAAAAAAAATATAGAAAAAGCAATACTTAGTGTTCCGCATAATATATTAATTACAATAAATTTGCAAATTCTCATATTACCGGCAGTGGTGGACAATTATCCTTTGTGAAACCCACGGCCTTTAAGAACGAGGCACCAATGAGTGGTTCGTCGAGCATTTCGCAGATGGGTAGGGATATATCGAATCCGGCAGGTATAGTGTACTCACCCATAATTTCTTCCCAGATAGACAATTCAACCTATAGCAAATACGTTATAGCTCGAAAATAAAAAGATAATATAATTAATGATAAATTTTGATGTAATAATAACAAAATGACTTACCCTAACATCTTCCGGTAATTCACTGATGATGATCATTTTTAAATTCATCGTATTGTACGTATCGTTCACCTCGTTCACCGTAACTGTCGATTTATCTAGATCGAAATATTCCTCATTGCTTTCGGTAATATAGCAGTCATCAATGTACAAGTAACCTTCCCCCTGACAGAATATTTATTTAAATATTACAAAATAAATTTCACTCCTCAATCTTCACTATCACTTGATGACCATATCGTTAGTCTTACCTGAGCTGATGCAGCGCACAGTAAAAGTGCTGCTGTCGACAGGTATATCATTTTATTAAAAATAAATAATTAAACTTTATCACATGGGACCAACTGTACGACTCGTACAGTCGACTATGTGCTCGGTCATTTTATATCCTTCGTGATACAATGAGCGTTACGTCAGAATGTCAGAACATGCAATACATTCTATAATTCTATCACTCGTTACAATCACTATTAGATAATCCCTAATCATATTAATCCTTATATTACTTCCGTATTAGTGTCAATGTAAAATCCAAGAAGACACGAATCATTGGAATGTCCACGATCATCATGCGTTATGATACTCGATCACGTTGCATAAAAAAAGGTTACAAGGTATACCTAATTCGAAATAACATCAGTGAAGTACGTGATAATTAGAAAGAGTAAAGACTGACAATAGATACCACAAAACGGCTGATCGTCCGTTAACATTAGCGTTCATTCGATAAACCCACAAAGCTCCAACAACGTGACCTGTTTTCATTATTACCGAACGTTCGAATCGCTCATATTACCGACAAAATGTGCCAGCAGTATGCACGACCCTCATCATCCCTTATTTCCGTATGCTCGCGTATAACGTCACGGCGTCATGGCTCATAGACGTTATTTCGATTCTGTTCAACGAAAGTAAGCGAGTAAACAGATTTTGGTCGATTCGTTTATTATTTAACCTCTCCGCTCAATTTCTATACTCCTGCTCTTTTTCTCTTTTTTTTTGTTGTTTCACCTTTTTTGTTTCTCATACTCCACTCAATCCCTCTTAATTATACGTTTGATCTCCGAGCGTAACACCCCACCCTCCGTGCACGTAACCACGTTATCACACGTTATGGTTAACGAGAAGAGAGCAACGCGAGTTTGTCCTGGGAACCGGATGTAGATCAGGATTTTAATCGAATTAATCTTCATCGAATAATACCAGCGTTGGCTGTCAGTCACGAAATCGCGTTATGGCAAGTGCTCGTTCTACTAACCCTCCACTCGTACAGTCCGTCCACGTACAGCGTAACGACCTATTGCTTTGTTTATTATGTTTATTAATCCACGGATTCAAATTCACGTATACTGCTTTAATCCCAGTCCTTTGTCTTTATTTTCGCGGAATTCCAATTTTAGTATTACACGTTATTTTATGTATATTACATTTTGGATATTGGCAACGATTTATATACATTATGAATAAATACCTAGTTACGTCGAATGGAATCTTTTGCCGTTAGCCTCTTATCGTTTCTTATCACTGTTCCGAGGTTGGGTATCGCTTATTCGATTTTTATTTAATTTATTAGGCTTGGTGACACACGATGAATTTTCGTATTGACGCTTACAAATATTGTCAGCGGTACTTTTTGTATGAGGTTGGGATATGGATCCTGATGCATTGAAGAAGGGTCCAGGATATACGTGTTTGGGATCACCGCGGCATGCAGCTTTACAATCGTTTATCCAACATGGCGAATTTTCCATTGTTTGGTGAATTTCGTAATTTCGTTTTCTTTCTAGATTCATCTCTTGAGATAATCGCCCCAGGCTAGCTTGCTCTTCTCGTAGTGTTCTCTTCATGTCTTCGATCTTGCTCGCAGCATCCAATTGCTTATCCATTATCAGTCTTTGCAATGCTGAGATTCTCTTGTTTAAATTGTCACGCTCGTATTTTCGTGGATCTTCTTGTAAATTACGGGACGCGCGGGAGGTTTCGCAGGGTTTGCAAATTGTTTCGTCATCCTGATCGTCCATGAAGTCATCGGGATTTAAATCTTCCTCGACCATTGATGATGTCAGTCTGCATATCCTCTCGTGAAGATCAGCCAATTGCGTTAAAGTAAGCGACTGAAAAATTGATAATAAAGGGAGATTAGTTGATCTTTTTTTATAACTTGTTACCAATGTGAAGTTTACTAATTATTAAATTACCTTAAGCCAGGATTCCGCATCGAATATGTCCTTACCGTCCTCTTTAGTTTCCATCATCTCTGGATCGTCCAAACCGAATTCCTTTAAAAAAAATATTTTTCTCTTGACTGAATAATATTTTATTACATTACCATTAAAAGTAATAATGCATTATTATCAGACTGACAGCGAGTTGTTTTTCGAGATTCTCGATTTGCTTTTTCAGCTTCTCATTTTCGTCAAGTAAATTTCCAATTTCTTGAATTTCCATCTCCGCGTTTTGAATATTTTCAGCAAGTTTTTGCGACGCCATTAATATACCCTTGAGTCGAGCAATTTTTATTACATCGGCATTTGGTTTCGTGTCGTTGCCCAATTTTTGCACCATTATCGGTCGCATCGAAGTTTTTCCTTCAATAAAGCCAATATATTCGCGAATACGATTTATTCCTATTTAACAGAAATGTATATATATATATACACATTAAATAATATTTGTCTTAGTAAAGCATGAAATAGAAACTAATCATTATTCATGAATAATACCATCGTTTTGTTCATCTATATTTTGTGTAAGGATTTCATTGGCTCTTATATAATCTCCACAATCATCCGTAACTTCTGCTGATGAAACTTTACTATCGGCTACTATGGATATTGCGGATTTTGCTAGAAAATTTCAGTAAGCCAAGATATTAGTATTAATAGGTAACGATTAACAACCGAGGACGTCGCACTTGGAGCAACAGCTTCCATTATACCTGTCGATTTTTTCTCAGGTCTTTTTACATTTTGAATATCCGACATTGCTCCAGCACCTGATACTTTTCTTAACTTACCATTTTCTCGACGAGATTTTCCAAGGTCTTTTTTCATATTCTGCAACTCGGCTTTCAGTCTTTCATTTTCTTTACGCAATCTCTCAAAATCTTCCAATAATTTTGAATGCTCCTTCCTCAAAGCTTTGTCATCTTCGATCTTCTTTTCCGATGCCTTTGAGGGCCTCTTATCAAGTTCCTTATCGAGTCTTTTTTCAGACGCAGTTTTCAATCGAGCTTTTTCTTCATTTAACGCATCATTATCGGCTTGCAACTTATCATTCTTAGCTCTAAGGCGATCAAGTTCGGCCTTCAAGTTGGCGTACTCGTTTCGTACTTTATCCAGTTCCCCGTTGAGCTTGTCAAGCTGGCTCTTCAAAGCTTCTTTTTCCGCCCGCATCTTATCCAGGTCGCCCTTCCAATCCGCGGAACGTCTCTTCATCTCGTCCAACTCCTGCTGAAGCTTGTCCTTGTCAGCCTTGCACTTAGCTAAATCATCCCTTAAGCCAGCTAAAGTGTTCTTCAGGGCTTCAAGCTCTCGTAAAGCCGCATCTTTCGCGGCTCCCGCCGCAACTAAATCTTTTTCCAACTTTTCGATTTGACCCTTCGACAGCGAATTCTCCTTTTCCATTCTATTCTTTTCTCCCTCGAAAGACCCTAGCTGATTCTCCAGACTTTTCGCTCTTTCCTGCGCACTGGCTACGTCCTTTCTCAGATTATCATTCATATCCTTTAACTGCTTTATACCGTTCTCGTATTCTAATTTGGCCGCATTGAATTCACCTTTAACTTTGTCAAGGGCCTCTTTGAGGTGGCCGTTTTCAACCATGAGCGAGTCCAGTTCCGCTTTCATCTTATCATTCGCTTTCTTCAATCCTACGTTCTCCTCTTTGATCTTGTCCAGTTCACTTTTCAAATCTGACAGTTGCTTCCTGAGACCTTCCAACTCTTGCTTCAGTCTCGCCTCCTCTCCACGAGCCTTGCTTAGTTCTTCCCTGAGAGCAGCTACTTCGGATTTCAGAGTTGCGTTCTCCTTCAGCGCTTCGTCCTTGCCAAGTTTGGTACTCGACAATTCTTTAGCTAACTTATCATTTTCTAACCTGACGCCATTTAATTCACCAATAAGCTTTTCTTTTTCAGTTTCCAGCGCACCGACCTGTTCTTGAAGCTTCTTCGTTCTGTCCTCGGCACTCGACAGACTCTTCTTAAGGTCCTCGAGTTCGGCCTTCGATTTCTTCGTTTCCTCATTGAGCTTGTTCAATTCCCCATTCAATCTATTAATTTCAGCCTTAAGTTTGTCGATCTCAGATTTGCATTCAGCCAAATCGGCCTTGAACTTTTCAGAGTCATTTTTAGCTGCAGTTAATGCGGCTGCAAGCTTCTCATTTTCAGCTTTCAGGGCATCGAGGTCACGCTTTAGTCGATTATTGTCAGAAGTTAGTTTATCGATTTCTCCTTTAAGATTTATACCTTCGCCCTTCGAACTTTCAGCTTCAGCCTTAACCTTGTTAAGTTCTTTCTGTAACCCATCGACTTCGGCCTTTTTCTTATCAAATTCGCCTTTCAAGCGATCATTTTCCGTTCTAAGAACAGAGGCTTCTTTACGGAGCTTTTCTAATTCGTCTTTAAGCGCTGCTATTTGATTCTCCCGATCACTAATCTCGCTTTTCAATTTGTTGTTCTCACCTCTTACCTTTGTTAATTCTGCCTTCAAAGCCTCCAGCTCTTCTTTGCAACCAACTGCTGCTTTGGAAGCTTCGTCCTTTGTACCTTGAAGGGCCGCTTTTTCAGACTCTAAATCTTTCTTGAGTTTATCAATATCCTGCATAAGCTTCGATTTTAGACCATCGTGGGCAACAAGCTGATCCTCAAGATCCTTCACTTTAGCACGGCAGTCAGACAACTCCTTTTTCAGCTTTTCGATATCTCCATTCAATTTATCGATTTCAGCCTTATGCTTGCAACCCTCGATTTTCCAGTATTCGATGTCAGCTTTCAATTTAGCTATCTCTTCAAGAAATTGTTCGTTTTCGTCTTTAAGAGCACGAAGCTCTTTCGATAGCTTATCAATTTCATTATGTAACCTATTATTCTCATTTTGACAATTCGTTAAAGATCCCCTGACGGCAGCCAATTCATTCTCCAGATTGTTTTTCTCCGACTGTAACTTATCAATCTCTTCTTTCAGCTTTATTATTTCGTTAAGAAGATCGTTCAGACTACCCTTCAAAGCCTCCAGTTCCCTATCAGCATCTTCCTTGGCACTCTTCACTCTGTCCAGCTCATTTCTTAAATCATTAACGTCTTTGGCTAACTGACTCTTGTCGTTGCGCAAATCAGCAGCCTCAGCTTCAAGAGACTTGATTGTATTTCTATAATCGTCCAGTTCCTTTCTCAATTTCTCAATCTCCGACATCATTGCCTGCTTCTGATTCTGCAACTCATCTACTACACCCTTGAGACTATCGAGATCCGACCGTAATTTATCCCTTTCCATGATACACGCACCCAATTCTCCTTTCAGAGCGTCGTTGCGACTCTTCATATGATCAAAATCGCTCTTCAGCTTGTCCCTTTCAGCTGCAAGACCGTCGAGCTGCCCGTTCAGTTTACTTAATTCTTCCTTAAGAGCATTTCTCTGAACCTCCATTTGATCCCGTTCACCTTTTAGTTTATCCTTATCCTGTTTGAGCGTCTCACAATCTGATTTTAAGTTGTTGTATCCATCGCTGGATGCTTTAAGTCTCTCGCACTCAGCCTTGCGATTCTCGTCCGAGACCTCCAGAGCTTCTGCTTTCTCTTTCCACTTTTCACTTTCTTCCTTTACTTTCGCCAGCTCTTCTTTCAGAGAATCCTTTTCCGCCTTCATGTCGCCCACTTCCCTCTTGAGAGTACTGTTCTCTCCTTTGAGCTTGTCCAGCTCACTTTCCGTATCGTCCAACTTCCCTTTGAGCTCCATCAACTTATCCTTGAGATTCCCATTCTCGGTTTTTAACGTCTCTACCTCGCCCTTCAAATTCTTATTTTCGTTTCTGATATTTTCCAGCTCGTCCTTTGCCTTGCTTAAGTCGGACTTCAGACTCTCATTAGCTTCCCTAAGAGCATTTCTTTCAGACTCCATACGTCCCAATTGGATCTTCATATTTTCTAGGTCGGCTTTGAGTTGCTCGGTTTCAGCTTGTAATTCCTTGAGCTCATTTATTAAGGACATATTTTCATTTCTTATATCATTCATATCGGTTTTCAAAGAACCATTTTCCGTTTTCAATTGATCCAGTTCCAGTTGACAAGCTTCGCATTGAGATTTTAGTTTATTAAGTTCTCCTAAGAGCGCAGCATTCTCTGATCTCAATTTATCTATTTCAGCCCTCGAATTATTTAGATCGCCTTGAGCTTTTTCCAAATTTGTCTTCAGCTCATCGTTCTCATTTTTGCAACCATCCACTTGCGCTTGCAGATTGTCACCGCCAGCTTTAGCCAGATTTAACTGATTTTTAGTATCATCTAAGTCGGATTGAAGCTTCTCGTTCTGAACCTTAAATGCATCGACCTGACCATTGAGGTTGGCATTTTCCATTTGAAGTTTTCGTATTTCATCATTTAGTCCATCATTATTCGCCGCCAATTTTTTTAGCGAGTCCTTAATGTCGGTCAGCTCTTCGGTCAGTTTATCATTCTCACCTTTGAGGGACCTTACTTGCGAGTGGAGACCGTCATTTTCCACCCTTAATTTATCCAACTCATCCCCGAACTGCCCGATTTCGGACTTGAGTTTATCATTCTCTCCTTTCAACTTATCAAGCTCTGACCTGAGTGCTTCCTCATGCTCTTTACCCTTCTCCACCTCCACCTTTAGTTTATCCCTTTCGTCCTTAAGCTTAGCCAGTTCCGCCAAAAGCTCATCAACCTGAGACACCAGTCTATCGTTATCATCCTTCAGGGCAACTACTTCTTCTCGTAACTTTAAAAGATCATTTTCCAATCTATCCTTCTCGACCTCATACTTTTTAATATCGTCATTGAGCTTTTCATTGTTCTGACGAAGCATCTCGCAGTCGGTGGTCACTTTATCGATATCAGCTTTAAGCTTGTCGATTTGAGCTTTCAGCTCATCAACGAGCTTCTTCAGTCTGTCATTTTCTGCTTTTAAATTAATATTCTCTGCCATCAGGACCTCATTCTCCTCTCTGATTCCATTCATATCCAGCAGAGAGCTTTTACTTTTGTCTCTGAGCTCATCATTATTCTTTCTCATGGAATCCGCCAGATTAACCAAGCGAGAATTTTCATCTCTTAACACATCAAGTCGAGTCTTCGAGTCACCCAGGACTTTAAGGGCATCGTCCTTTGCACTTACAGCCATTTCCAAATCCTTCTTACATCTATTTAGATTCTCTACAGCTTGAAGCAATTCATTAGCCAAGTTATCCTTCGCAGCTTTCATTGATTCTATCAAATCTTCCAAGCCCTTTGTAGTATCCTTGCTACTTGCAAGCTCCTTACTAACTTTCCCAAGCTCATCCTCGAGTTCACGTATTCTAGCCAACATTCTATCCGCGTCGTCCCTAGTATCCGGCACGTGACTTATAACAGCTTTAAGCTCACCGATCTCATCCTCCAAATCTGCGACTTGCTTTTTCAGGGCTTCATTTTCCTTCTTTAACAAAGCTTCCTGCGCTAGCAAACCATCAATTCTCGTTTGCATAGCGGCCAGTTTCGACTCGCAATCATTCGTAACTCTATCTCTTTTTTCCAGGATCTTGATGATCTGATCATTCCTCTCGGACACAACACCCCGAACTTTACCAAGCTCGTCGAGCAGTTGATCACGCTCAATCTGAAGATCATACAACTGCGGCTTCATCCCCATTATCTCGCTCTGCAAGTTGTTCATCCCAAGAAGATCAGCCGTGGACTTTCTCAACTCTCCGAGAAGCTCAGTAACCTGGGAAGAAATGGAATAACGTCAGCGCCAGCGCCAGTGCGCCGTAAGGATCTTCCAATGTAATAAATAAAACCTTTTCATCCCTCTTCTTAAGCTCATCCTTCATAGCAGCTACTTGAGCCGTCAGAGCTTTCGTACTGACAGTCATCTTATCCAGATCGACAGCCAAATCAGCAGATCGGGCTCGATTCTCTAGTAATTCTCTTTGCAAATCATTTATCAAGGCATCCTTATCCTCCTCTGGAAGACGTTTCTGAAGCTCCTGGGATACTGGGCCTCCTGACATCCCCCTCAGAGTCTCGACTTCCCGTAGGAGACGTTCGTTTTCGGCTTTCAGGTCATCGCAACTCGTCGACAATTGAACCAGTGTCTCTATGGAGCGTTCGACTACCTTAGAAACTTGCTGGTCAGCTCTTTGACCTCCTTTCATCAGTTCTCTTAATTTCGCTCTAAGACGATTTAGCGCGGAACAGGAACTGTCATCGTCCGTCTCCGCCAGTTTGATTTTCAATTCCGAAATCATCTCTCTGAGTCTAAGATGAAAATAGTATTATAAAAATGACCACAGCTTACACGACCAAATAGCGACTAATGAAAAAAATCATTGGCTTAAGTCAAATACTGATTCTTTTCTTCAGCGTGTTGTACTCTCAGGATCCCAATCTTCTCTCTATAATAATGCACAGCCTCGCACGAATCTCCAAAGGAATCTCTCTCTACGAGTGTCTCTTCAAGATCTTTGATCTTATCCTCGAGCAGATTCCTGGCATTCTCCAATCTCTCATTTTCCTCCCGATAATGCAGAACCAGTGGGTCAGGCTTAAGAGGCTCGTCGATATTTACACCTTGAAAAAAATATTTATAGTTGAATAAAAATTGACTAAGAAATTATTTAATCGAGAATTAATAAAAGCGTTATAAGAAGTGTCCTTTGACCTCGGGATCGAAGAGCTTCCTTTAGCAATCTTGCCTCGCTCTCAAGCTGAAGACGTTCCATGCGCCATTTCTTCATCTGACACTTCATGACCGTGAGCTTTCTCAAGGCAAAATTCAGGTCGTATATCTCGGACTCTTTTGAATTGTCACTGAACGGATTGTAGTCACAGCAACAACATGGCTCGTGCGGTGGGTCTGGCGATTTGGCGCATGGTGGAACAAAGCATCCGCATAAACAGGAACTCTCCTGGGTCATCGTCTTCGGCACGTGTAATACAAACCGAAAAGCTTATTTAACTTGCCATGGAATCGTTTACGAGCAAGTGACAGTAGCACGTGGAATCCGTAGGTTAAGGATCCTGAGAGTGAATCGTATTTTCTCGAAAAGTAGGGTTATCAGCAATGCAGGTCTCCGAAAGGTTCGATCGTAGATTTACGAGTGGCGTGAGCGGCATATGTGAACCGGGGAAAATGTTCCAGGTCAAATTTAGTGGATCGTTCCTTGGGACGTGGCCCAGAGGTTAAAGGTGACTTCAATTGTTCGGTTGCAGCGAAATTGTTTGCAGATGAAAGGACGGAACGATAGATCGATAAAATCTCACAAGAATGAAAGGTCGCCGTATGCTTCCGAAGGTTGACCCGAAAGTGCAACCGTGTATTCACTTGCCAGCGTAAGACTATTGGCAGAGGAGCATATTTCGTTGGGAAACTTTTAATTAAACTAATCCTTAATAACGAAAGCCCTGCTAGTCTAACGGCAGACTTCATACGGAATTTAATCTCGTCTCGCGAACAACCTTCAGAATGGTTAAAGTCCTTGTCTAAATTTACCGAACTTCCGCAGACAAGTTCCTTCCACGGTGTGTTCGTTGAGGTTGCATCTCCTCTTGCCTCCTTCTGTGAAGCTTCCACATCAGCCGCTACTTCTTTGTTCCGCCTATACTTATGAGTATGACTATGTTTCAACAACCCCTTGTACCATCTTTGGCAAACCAACATTTTAGCTTTTGACTTAGAAACTTCCTATCTTTACTTTCTCCCTTACGTGGATCTACTTTGTTTGCCGTAAACGGCTCTTTCGGTTTTGGTAATAAAACAAGAATCTAAGTTTTCTGAGGAAATCTGGAAAACGGCGAAGCCGCCATGCAATTTTATTATATAATTGGAAGCTGTTCAGTCACGTTGTAATCCTCGTGAGTCACCATATTCCAGGCTCATTAGGCGACGCCTTGGAAGCAGAAACTTTCTGGGCAACTACCACTTCAAACGCATTGCCAACTCACTAACCATTCGAGCTACAACTTTCTGCGAATGAGGATGCTTGTAGCAGAGCGGGAGAGAGATCTTTGAAAAATACTTTATAAATACATAAGAAACCTTTTGATAAAGGTTTCATTAAATGAAAAGACATCCGAGTAATTAATGAAGCTTCTGGTATACTTATATTTATGTGAACCTTATTTTGAAAGTAATTACCAAACTCTTAACTACGGTCGTCTTTACGCAGACGAACCTTACGGAGAGACTTCATTTTTAAATAAGTTTTGTTATTTATATTTAAGGAAATTCATATCTTTATTTGAAAAGCAATTGAATTTTAGGTATCCTGATAAACCAGGTGTCAACTGGAGCTTTATGAAAATACGTTATTGGTATGTATGTAGGCTCTTGTGTACATTGTGTATGTAGATACATATGTGTAAAGTAGAAGACGATAACGAGGCTACCCTCGTGATATTCGTCTTTCCCACGATTCTCATATATTTTGTATTTCTCATATTTCCCGAGTGTCGAGTGAGAAGCGCCACGTCAAACAGTCGCCCTCGCGCCTTGACGTGTAACCGCAATTCCCCACGAAATTATATTTTGCGCCTCAAAGTTTCATAAACGCGGACAACGCGAGCTGGATGAAATTTTAGGTATCATAAACAAGAAGTTACGATATCATGTTTACGTCAAAGTGAAGATATTATTGTGACTTTTATAATGACTCGAGCTAGTGACGAACTTATATATTTTTCAAATCAGTCAAGAGATTTTAATGCACAATTTTTTAAATTTCAAAAAATCATCCTGCAGACGAATGTCATGAGAAGTTCGGATGTTGATATGAGGAAAAACGAAAATTATTTTGAAAAATATGATGATCGATTTGGACACATTGAATTAAAGTATTGCATATATGTCAGGTGTCATGAAATTTATTTGTTACGTAAAATTTTCAAACTCAGTGACATTTGGAAATTTTGACAAGGACTCTCAAGAGGTTCTGCGAAGGGATCCTTTTGAGGGCACATGAAAAGGAAAAAATTATTCGATTATAAAAGAACGTGGAAAGTGGCCTAATGGAAGCCTAACAATCTATAACCTGTGGAACAGCTCTTAAACTGAAGAAGGAGTTGAGGAAAGCTGGAGAAGAGCTTGCCGAGGAAAAAAAGCGATTCAAGGAGGAGCTTTCGTCTCTCCAGAGAAAAAGTCAAACAAGCTCAAGAAGAATGTAGGTGATCTGCTTCGCTTCGTGTCAAAGGAAGATTGCAAGAATATATTGATAGTGAGAAAAAAGATTGATAAAGTTTCTGAGGACTCTGGTTACGCTTTATAATGAACTTATTAGTCTATACGTTATTATCGATCGTTTCAGAAGGCAAAACGACTACCTCCACTTTGAGATCGATAGGTTAAAAGCTATGCTATTAGCAGCAAGAGGAAGTGCAGCGGAATATCGAAAGTGTAATTTCTGACCTGGAAATTTGAATCAGTCAAGTTCACAGGGAAACGAGAAAAATGAATCTTTCGTCTGAACTGTAAATAATTATTATGATACAAATTTTTTTAAATATTTAAGCAGTATTGAAAGCGTAGAAAAATTTATATAACATTTAGAAAGAAAAATGTTTTTAAGGAGAACAAACACCGCTCGTTGGTCCGAAATGCTGGAGTATTTATAGAAGATTGAAAATTTAGAAAAGATGGTGAATTTATTACATAATCGACTGGATGAGGTTAACATTGAAATTCCCGCTACTTTCGAGTACAAATTAGAAGATTGTACGAAAATCTACAAATTGCAAAGCTTAATTGGAGCATCTAGGACAGGAGCTGCTAGAGGGAAAAACCATATAATCTTGGAACTCGATACTAATCCGAAAAAAAATTCACGAACTTGTTATAAATTACGCAAATTACCCAAGACTCAATTCCATGAGGGATCGCTCAAATTCCCTAAGATAAGAAATGGCCAATGTTAAAAACTTCTCTACAGAAAGATCCTGTCAATTACAGGAATCCCACAAGAACTCGAAGGATTTTACACGCAGACTAAACGTCCTTCAAGATAACATCAAGGATAACGATGAACGAATGGCTAAGCTCCGTGAACAAGTTCACGATGCGAAATCTCTGCTTTCGGAGTTTTGTGAAAATAAAGGTTGAACTCAAGATGGCAGAACGCAATTACCAAATGGTGGGTGAGGAGAGAATTGATCTACTAGCAAGAGTTAAAAAGTTTCGAGAAGTTATCACCGGTAGGGACAATCAGATTATGAAACTGATAACCGATAAAGAAAATCGCGAAAAGTGCACTTTCCGAGAAGTCAAGGAACTCGATAGTAAATTTGCCGTAATTCTGATGGAAAAAGAAAAAAAAAATAGTTCCAAAGGAGAAATTCGAGAATGGCGAAGACGCTGTAAATAATACAAGATACGTAAGAATGAGGAAGATAGACAAGGAAGAAGGGTAAGAAGCAATGGAAATAATGGAAGTCAAGAGAGTCCTGTGTCATCATCAGTTGAAAAAATTAGAAGAACAAGAAGAAAAAAATTGAGATGAAGAATGCAAATGATGAGATCGAAAATGACAGGAGTTTGGTAAATGCGATAAAGGAAGAGACAATGACCTTAGACGAAGAGCTTATCAAGTAAAAGCTCTTAATGACAATTCAAAGGTTGAGCTTATCATGGAAAAAAGTTTGAAATCTAATAGGATAAAGGACATTATGCCATTAGTGACGTCACTTGTTACGAGGTTGAAAAACGTCAAATCGAGGAGAAAACACGAAGTCGTAACGAACAGGAGGATTTTGTGTTACGACGAACTGAATATCCTTAGACAATAAAGAATTCAAGAGAGACGACAAATCAATTCAATAGGGTCGACAAACCCTATTCGTATTGAAACGTGAAAACTAACGAGGGAAATCATTTATTCTTACAGAATTTTCAACTATGTGGAAAAAAATCCACGGAGGCATTTTTCAACTGAAATTTGCTTTTCCACGGAGGCATTTTTCAACTGAAATTTGCCTCCGTGAAAAAACAGCATTATGAGAGAGTCCACAGTTGTGTATTAATAAAAGATAATTTTATATCGTGAATTGATAACTAGACGTACTGCAGGAGATTAGTGAATTTGGGTAAAACCTTGATTACATTTTCTATAGAAAATCGGAAATTGCTTCAACAGAGTGACGACTAATGCTGTGATAAGTGAAATTTTCAAATTGAAATACAGGAATCACGTTTTCGCGAACGACGTGAAATTTGAATATTTAGCACTGTGATAACCGAACAGGAAAAAAAATCGAAATACGAATTTAATTTTCAGATGGAAAATAGATGAATCAATAATTCAATATGAGTTGTTGAAAGCGAAGAAACCAATAACGATGTAATTTCTTGAATTTAAAACAAAGAGAAAAACTCTCAAAGACGAATTGTTGACTTTAAGATCAGAATATGACGTGTACAGAAAAGGTCCGTGCTGGAGAAAAAGCGGGTTAAGTAATGTAATGGCAAAATTGAAAAGCTTCGGCTGGATAGACTTTCAATCTAATTTAAAACCTGAAGGTATTCCAAATGAATGATTTAACCCATAGGAAGGAGATCGAACAAGCTGAGGTCAAATTTAACAAGGTCAGGGAAGAGCGCGGTGAAGACTGAAGAGGGATCTCCAGGAGTTTACGCACAAAATGGATTCCACTAATGACGTCGTAAAAAAGTTAAAATCGGAAAAATTCATTTTCAAAGTCGAAGCGAATAAATGTGAGGGAAGGATTTAACGGTTTACGCAATGATATTAAAACGAAACTGAAGATGAGGAACGACGTACTGAAAAAGGAATGTAACGTAGTGAGAAAGTAGGTCGAGAAAACAACAGATAAAAACGAAGCACTACAGTATGAATTTATCGAATTGAAAACAGAAAGCAATGCTGTTCTTGTGAATAAGCAAATAATATATTCACTTCTTGAGAATTCTATTGAGAAATCGAAAGTTTTAAAGAACAAGTTGCTACGATTGAGATGCGAAAAATAGAAATATGAGTGAATGAGTGAAAAAAAAATTGAAAAAAAACCGGAACCAAGAAATATTAGCACCAAAGGAGGTTCTCGAAAAATTTGCGACAGGAATTGACAAAGCGCGTACGAAGTCGCAAATTTCCGAATCGACTGTGTAAGATACGGTACATCGAAAGCCATCTCAAAAAAGAAATGGACCGAGGTCCTGGACGACTTTGACAATTACAGAATAAAAGCAGTGGCTCC